TGTTGTTAACTAGGTGGGATACCCACTGCGTTGTTCGTTTTGTGCCACCGGCAAGGGGGTTTCTTAAGGAATCTTAAAAAGCATGAAATTGTCGAGCAGGTATGTCTTCCTTTGATCCCGACTAATTTTTGAAGTTATTTATATTAGGATGATTTCTTCAAACCACCAAATTTTTGCATGTGAGTACATTGTCTATCTTAAACATTTTTAGTGCCCATTCCCTTACGTTTATGTGGGTAGAAAGAGAAGAAAGGTGTGGATTGCGGTTGGCTGGGTTCTATAACCTCCATCAGTAACTACCCGACTTGCCTTTTCTTTTACCCTACACAGACCAAACTTTTTTTGGACTGCACAGTGTTCTGCTTAGCCCCTTTTCTTCATTTGTTTAGGTAGACGGGTTTAATTAGAAGATAGACATCATTTACTAAACAGGTTAATTTCTTGAATACTTGCATGTATAAGTTTCTTTTTTGTTTTCTTGTTATTGCAAACGGAATGATCGAAAGGCATGGAACTGGGAATCTTTTTCACGTCTATTGTTTTTCATAAGGAAGATTGAATCATTATCTAATGGGTTGATTCACGGCGCTGTCTAAATTTTTGATCTTTGGTGGAATAAAGCGTGCTGCGTGCATTGCTTATTTCCCATATTTCTCTACTCTATAATCATTGACTCGATTGCTAAATGATTTAATAACCCATTTTACCGTCTGCACTGTAGATTCTCGTAGCAAGGAAGCTTTGCAAGCTCCCAATGTTGTTGCCATAGATGCTGATGGTCTAGATTACACAGACATTCCACACTCACAAATTAGAAAGGTTCGGCTTCACCATTCTCATCTTCAGGACCTATGTATTACTGCTTTTATGAAATTTTAGATCAAAGATTTGACAAAAATTATACTGGTCAAGTTATACAAATCCTGGCCATGCCTGGTCAGCCAACTTGTGCCAGGGAAGTTATGCGATCATTTTCAGAATGTGTTAATTTTGCTCAATATAATATGCGTTTAGGTGTTTACTCGATATCATGAACTTGTTTTGAAGTAGTTAAAGCTAATTTCAGGTGCTAGGGCTCGCGGTGGTGATTGTGGGAAATAGGAAGGATTCTAAAAGCTATGTGAATATAAAAAGAAAAGCACGTGCTGAAGTTGGGATAAAGTCTGTTGATACAAGCATGCCAGAAGAAGTTTCTGAAGCCGAATTGATTTGTCGGGTCCTTGATTTAAATGCAAATCCTGATGTTCATGGTTAGTTGGTTATGAACTTACAGACCGACAATTACTTCAATTCCTAAAACATGATTGGATATATTTAATTTCATTGCCAGTAATTGTCATGTCCATGATCTTAACAATGCAAGTGGGCATGGAAATTCTTATTCATAATGCAATTTGTTCCTGTTTTGGTCTGATTATCCCAACTGGTATGACATTGTTAACTGATTGGAAATCCTTATTCATAATGCACTTTGTTCCTATATTTTGTCTGATTGTGTCAACTGATATGACATCGTTAAATTTTTTTTGGTTGTATAATTTGCAGTAGAAAAACTGGTTATGAAGTGATATTATGTTCATTTATATAAAAACTATCTGATACACGTAATCTAACCATTGTACTGGCAATAAACCTTACATTTATCTGAACTATTCGGAGGTTGGGGGAACTTCTTAATTGCTTCATTTTCCTCATCTCCACACACTTATTGTACTTGCATAAATATAATATCTTCTGTTTTGGCTGATTAATCCATTCATATTTTCTATTTTGTACAAAGATG